GGATGATGAACTATTGAAATGGTATTGCAGATCAATAACAACATATGACTGCTGTTAATAGGTAGCTCGTGGCACGGTAATGCATGCGCCGCGGTATCGCCGACTACAGTTGTAATCCCCATGAAAGTCGTGGCAATGTATGGTAATGTTTCATACCATGATGGTCTGTAATATGCTTTTTAAATATTTTGTTTAGGAATGGGGATAAGTAGAGAGTTAAATACAATGGTTCGTCTTCTTATTTAATTCCAACCGATATATCAGGGTATATCCCGGTGTAGCACCGTCTGACATGGATACAACAGACTACGAGCGTGCAGTATAAACATTAAACGGATTAAACACTGCCTAATTTTATCCGAATACGGCTTAACGTTTCTAAATATGTAATTCCGATTTTATCTTAATCGCTCTAATAAAATCTGCAACGTACGTATTAAAATTTGTTTTTAATTTCAGTTATCTTCGTAATGACATCAGATGGAGTTCACTACATACTCGTTAAGATACTGCGGAATGAGTCAGTCGCTAAATTACTGTGCAAATTAAAAGTAACCGAATTTTGAAATAAAAATATACTGGCTATGTGCTTGATAATCAGCACTCGTAATTGCCGACCTAAAACTAAATACGTAATAGTTCCTTCATTTAGCTGAACTCAATATCATAATAATATATAAAATAAAGCGCAAGGTTTAAGACGACATTGATATAATTGTAAATTAATAGTCCGTTCAAATACCATGCATTGTTCTTGATTTATTTAATCGAAGAATAATTCATACTTTGAATAACTTAATAGTCCTCAAATTTATGCTATATCTTCGCACACTAAATGAGATTGACATTTTATTTCAAATTGAAATCATTATGGCCTGTGTTGGTGATGTCGACGGTTTTGATCGATTCCCTACAGTTGGTAATTGTTAGCTATTGGTGGCATCGCATTGAGTAGCCGTGAGCAATGACGTCATTGTGATATTTCGACTCGACGCAGGTGGCCATTGTTTCTGGATTTCCTACACATTACTGTCAGCCTCCCAGCGTGTTTTGGAATTATATACTAATAATAACACATCTGTGACAGGACGACCTTAGCGGCAGAGTTAAGCTTTGTACACATTGGGTTTATAAAACAATGATTGTTTTCCTGAACTATTGACCTTCCCATTATCGATATAGTTTTCACGATAACTTGATGACGTCTGCTAAGAAGAAAGACGACATCTCCTTTCGTTTGTCTGGGATCACATATATAATAAACCATAAATAACCGATCACAATGTTAATGTTTAAGGTTGGGACACTTGGGTCCTTATTTTGAGCTTTGTGTTATAATTTAAAGTATCACGGTGTCCGGATATCATACTCACATCTTTAATTGAATGTATCATATTGATTAACTTTCATATAATTTAGTTGGTCGTAATTCGCCATATAACACGGCAAGTGTATAACTCTTCGTCCAATAAAAACTGGCGTGTCAAAATCTAAACAATCAGTCGAAAAGGAGTTGGACTCAGTTGTACCAGAAGATGTGCGTGCAGAGCAGGTATGACGTAGGTAGGGCATATATTGCCCATAACATGCACTACTAGCAGTTATGTTCGTGTACTTGTTCATGAGATGGGTTGTTGTATATGTGCTATACTGTTAGCCTTGAGTAATATCCGCCCAGCACGCGCCATATCTGCCAGGCACGCGCCATTTTAATTTTTCATCCGGTTCAACACATTCAGAATTATGCATCAATTACATTCTATTTGAGTTATTGTTTAAAACACTAAGACATTTACAATGTGTAATTTAAGATAAAATTGTATTCATATCACCATCTCCATTTCCTAATATCAACCCTCGACCCATATCAGCCCTCAGGCCGTCGGCCCCTCAGGCTGATATGAAGGTCTCGGGTAGATACGACATTGGATTTGGAACTTCTATATTCCAATCGGCCAATCTCACAGACAAGTTGATGATAATGTTTTGTAACAATGAAACAAAACGTCGACATCTATGACAAGACAATATACACTATATGCATGTTTGATATGATGTATGACATTCATTAAAGAGGTATTCCAGTTTAAATTATACATAAATAGCCTCGATCTCTGTCACATATCGCCTCCAAATCTGTAGCCCATCGGTCGATATGTCGGGATAGAGCTTGGCAATAGTTAAATATCATCGTCAAATACGTAAACAATTGTCCAGTGCAGACTGCCATCAAATCTGTAACGATATTGCTTTCCACAGCAGTAACATTTCAATATCCCCTAGGTATACAGTACCCATGGGTAGGTGTATTACTTCATTGTTTGTTCTGCGTGACAGTATTTCCTAGGTAATTATTACCTGACTTATACCTATTACAGTCAGGGTTTACTACCAGCGTCACCTTTTTCTTGAGATATCATAGCTTATGTTGTCAGTATTAGAGACAATGCACGGCCAGACCGGGGTTCGAACCCGGGACCCTCCGAACTAGACGGACGATGTACCAATTGAGCTATCTGGTCTCTGACGATAGACCAAGTCCAGTTCCGCTATACTTATATTGTCAGAATTCATTATAAGGGACATTCGTCCTGGATTTAACAGAAGATATAAAAACTTATATTGTCAGGATTTTCTACTAGCGACACAACTTTCGTTCCTGTTTTTTGGCTTTTCCGTATTGTGTCAAATTCCGGCTTTCGCCTTTGTGAAATGACAAAGCGGTATTTCTTTTGTTCTAGTTTACCTTAACAGAGTAAAACTTTTTTTTTTCAATATATAAACTTCTCTCAAATAAAATACGGAAAGGATTGGAGAAGATTTTCATGAAATATGTTTGCTTGAGCGATATATTCTCTCACACTAGTCGTTCAAACTATCCCCATTATTATGAAACCACGTCATGACATTTGTGGTTAATTAACTGTGTTAATATAAAAGTATGAACGCTGTGTATGTATATAGGTGGGGTACACCCCGGGCCAGCGTTACTCAGGGAGGTGTCACACGTAGGTATTCATCACTCATGTGAGGTCTGACACATTGAGGGCGTGCGCACAAGGTTGGTCTTACATACAGACTTTACACTCCGGGAAGGTATAACACTCGACGCAAGATGGTTTAACTCTCAAGAAAGGTTTTTAATACACAGGGGAGGTCTTACTCACAAGGGATATATACAGAGGTATTAAACACGGAGAAGTATTAAATACACATGTGTTACACACATGATAGGTCTGACACACAAGTGTTACACACACACACCCACACACACACACACACACACACACACACACAGAGGGAGGTCTGACCCACAAGTGTAACACACACACACACACACACAGGGGAGGTCTTACACACAGGGATAGTATACAGAGGTATTAAACACGGAGAAGTATTAAATACACATGTGTTACACACATGATAGGTCTGACACACAAGTGTTACACACACACACCCACACACACACACACACACACACACACACACACACACACACAGAGGTAGGTCTGACCCACAAGTGTAACACACACACACACACACACACAGGGGAGGTCTTACACACAAGGGATATACACAGATGTATTAAACACGGAGAAGTATTAAATACACATGTGTTACACACATGATAGGTCTGACACACAAGTGTTACACACATACACACACATGTGGTACACACACACACACACACACACAAACACACACACACACACACACAGAGGGTAGGTCTGACCCACAAGTGTTACACACACACACACACACACACACACACACACACACACACACACACACACAGGGGAGGTCTTACACACAGGGATAGTACACAGAGATGGTACACACAGGGTAGGTCTGACCCACAAGTGTAACACACACGCACAGGTGGTAAACATGGGATGTCTTACACAGGGATAGTACACAGAGGTGGTACACACAGGGTAGGTCTGACCCACAAGTGTAACACACACGCACAGGTGGTAAACATGGGATGTCTTACACAGGGATAGTACACAGAGGTGGTACACACAGGGTAGGTCTGGCCCACAAGTGTAACACACACGCACAGGTGGTAAACATGGGATGTCTTACACAGGGATAGTACGCATAGGTGGTACACACAGGGTAGGTCTGACCCACAAGTGTAACACACACGCACAGGTGGTAAACATGGGATGTCTTACACAGGGATAGTACACACAAGTGTTCAACGCGGGGAGGTTTTAAACACAGAGTTCATACACAAAAGTAATACACATCGGTGTTAAACGCTTTAAAGTCTTACACAAAGGAGGCGTATTACACTGATGCGATGTCTGACATACAGGGGAGGAACACAGAGGTGTTTAACAGGGAGGGATTTTACACACAGGGGAGGTTTAACACACATTGGGCAGTCTGCCACACAAGGGATGTGTTTTGACACATGAGTGGTACACACAGGTCTAAAGTAGGTAGGACGTTTGTAACATCTACATCTACAACAATCACTGAGTATACCCTTTCGTTACGATAGCTCACATAAACTGTCTGACTGTCTATGACAGACATTAAAAGATCCAATATCTGACGGAACATCGTCTTTCTAACGGAGAGGCAGAAATAGCCGAAGATACCAAGATTGCTGCTTAGAAATGCCAATGGTCCTAAGACTACGGTCGTAGCAAATCTTTACTCGCCGTTTGTTCACGGCAGTGGAATTGATCGGGCTTGGTATTGGGGATGCCATTCAATACTGGTGCTGACTATGGCGAGACATTAGTACGGGTGCCTTGTAATATTGATAACATCCCAAATGGATCTTTAATATGTTTCATGACACTTGAAGGCTGATTTGTAGGAGAACTACCAGTAATCACTTGTTTTCTCTGCCATATTACCTGCCTTTGACTAACATTCGATTTACCCTATGTGTTGTGCCACATAAAGCAAACTTTAAGCCTATTACACCTCTCCCCGAGACGCTTTTTTTCTTCGTCCTATTAACAGGTTTGGTCATAAAGGACATGTTAGGTTTAGGTGGTGGAAGAAAGCCGAAGCACTCGGAGAATAACCACCGGCCTGCAGCCAGTACCTGGCGTAAGCCCCAGGTAGACCTCGAACCAGCGACCTAGTGGCGACGGGCTATTGATCGTAGCTGGTTAGAACCCAGGTAGACCTCGACCCAGCGACCTAGTGGCGACGGACTATTGATCGTAGCTGGTCAGACCCCAGGTAGACCTCGACCCAGCGACCTAGTGGCGACGGGCTATTGATCGTAGCTGGTCAGACCCCAGGTAGACCTCGAACCAGCGACCTAGTGGCGACGGGCGATTGATCGTAGATGGTCAGACGCCGTAACCGCGGGGAATCGTGACGATAATGTTATATTCGATTTTTGTAATCTCGAAACAATAATCCTGTTGATTGAAAGTTTGCAGTTATCAATTTATTCGACCCTGAAAAAACCAGTAAATTCATCAAAAGCTGCAGTAGATGTACACCTATTTTAATCACTTTTTAATTGAACAATTTCGTTCGAATTAGTTTTGTATGCTAAATATGATCATTAATAAGGTATCTATGACGTAATGATTAACTTCTATACGCTTATAATTTTCTGCACACTTACGAATGAACACATTCTTTAATATACTGAACAGTCATTTGGATTTAATACTCCTCTTTCTTTCGTCCGAAAAACATTTACTGCTAACATTTTAGCATATCATATTCAAAATTCAAATTCTACACCAAAAGTTTTATTTTGAAGTAAAATTCATCGACTACAAATATTTCTGACTTGACTAACACTGACAATTTTATGTGGAGCTTAATATCTAGCAACAATGTTCATCATAGGTTCGTGCTTCGACTACACTATGACGTTATCAAATAATGTTGTCCAACGAAAAACAATTGTTTACCTTGACCTTATTTGACCATCAGTCTATGTTACTTAATTAAGGAGAACTATAATGTAGACAACCGATACATGGTTTGTGATTAATCTGAATTCTGACGTAAGTAAATATATTGTACGAGCAGTAAAGGCCAGCTTAGAATATTGAACTGATAAAACCTTCTTTGGGACAAGTGATTACCAAAGTTATGGCATCTACAAACCTGTTACATCTTTGTCATTATGATACAACTCGAAATATATCCGACAACCGGTTAAAAATAAAAAGGGAAAGAAATAACGGACCAAAAAAGGAAATGAAGATACCAAACAGCCGGAGGTGACCAAATAAAGAAACAGAAGACAGTCGGAGGTGACCGAATAGAGAAACAGAAGACAGCCAGAGGTGACCAAATAGAGAAACAGAAGACAGCCGGAGGTGACCGAATAGAGAAACAGAAGACAGCCAGAGGTGACCAAATAGAGAAACAGAAGACAGCCAGAGGTGACCAAATAGAGAAACAGAAGACAGCCAGAGGTGACCAAATAGAGAAACAGAAGACAGCCAGAGGTGACCAAATAGAGAAACAGAAGACAGCCAGAGGTGACCAAATAGAGAAACAGAAGACAGCCAGAGGTGACCAAATAGAGAAAAAGAAGACAGCCAGAGGTGACCGAATAGAGAAACAGAAGACAGCCAGAGGTGACCAAATAGAGAAACAGAAGACAGCCAGAGGTGACCGAATAGAGAAACAGAAGACAGCCAGAGGTGACCAAATAGAGAAACAGAAGACAGCCAGAGGTGACCAAATAGAGAAACAGAAGACAGCCAGAGGTGACCGAATAGAGAAACAGAAGACAGCCAGAGGTGACCGAATAGAGAAACAGAAGACACAATGACCTTGATAACTAGATTTTTAGGGAGTTTGGATAATTAAAAGATCATTAAGATGATGTCCAAAAGAGAAACTGAGCTGTAAAGCTACATGTAGTTAAGTCCTGAAAGGGTAGGCAATACTACACGGGACACAGGCTAATGATGCTTGAAATCTGCAAGTTTGCAAGAGAGACCATTTTCTTTGTCAGTTTAATATAATCGCTGTTGAAGCTTAACTTTGACCAACTGGGCATTGGTAGTAGTAATCTTTTATTGGATTGTTTTCATTTGGTGTCGTGCTGTACTAAATCCAAAAATTATATTTAGTCTGGCTTTTCTGTAACAAATCTGACAACAGATCCTAATCTGACTTTGCTCTCTTGTAGACAGCTAGTTGTTTTCACACTCTGAGCCAAATTGTTTGTTTTTGTAAGAAGAAACTTCAATTGATGTGCGAGTTCTCTGCCTTTTCCGTCAGTTTGATCCCCGTATCCAATCGAGACATGTAGTCACAATCTTTAGCACTTCCTTAATTATATCAATGAAGCAAATTGATATTAATTGAGTTCTAAAAAATATCCAATGCTTAATACGGCCATGAAAAGACTACAATCCACGGGGATATAGTAATTGTTCTGTCAATGCTAGCCTGTAGATCAGACTGTTGTCTCTGACCAGTCGTAAGATATGAGTGTATACTGGTATTAATACAAGATGCCTCAAACATTGGCAGGACATCTCTAAAACCACGATCAACGACTACATTGTCGTCTTGTTCCAACCATGTGAGCTTGTCTATGATGTTATGGTAATGCTTGCATCTTTTTGGCTTCCAGAGAATGGTCCTACTGTGACCAAAATGAAGCCATCAGGTAGAGCTATGCTCATGAATTTAAGATTTAAGATAATTACGCTCCTTCTGGCCACCGTAAGACATTCTCTGAAGCTTATTGACAGCAACTTTTTTTAAATATAAATATATGTGCTATCTACTTAGGATGTCACTTTGTCTCCAAAGAATGTTTCTGAGAATAAAATATTGCGTGAAAGTATTTGTTCCCTACTCAAATGGTCAGGACCAAGAAACACTGGAACTAGAGCTTTATTCAATGCTTGCACTACAGAATGAAAGTTTTTGAAATACTAGGTAAGGAAAAGCCAAAAAAGAGCGGAAAGATTTAAGATAATTACGCTCAGTTTCCATCTTAACCAAAAGCAGTCAAAGAACATTATGTGTAGTTTCGGTATATTCTGAAGAAAAAGGAAATGGAAAAAAACACGTATGGATTTTGAGAAACTGTTCTTTGACCAACCTGTCCAAGCTTTGCAGCCAGGGTCATCTAAAAGGTTATCAACTGTTTCAGATGACCTACTTCATAATTGAGAGTTCAAAGACTCTCTTCCTTATAGGATAACCTGTATACAAGGGTTTAGATCATTGGCAATAAGATGAAATGAGCATACACGTGATGACGCAGAACACCACAATTTGTTTGTGAAAATTAACTGATGCTTGGCACGTTTTTGCAGAAATGTGAATTTGCTCCCCTTCGAATTCAAATTGTTAAAACAAAGACAACATTTGGTATGTGAACAGGACCCGTAAAACAGGACCTTAATTGTTAAGAGAAAAACATCTAGTAGTTTCATCTTCAAAACGTTCTGTTTCAGATTCTCTTTTACACAGATACCTTAGGTAGCACTTCGGACCAATACTAACTTCTTCATTTGAGCAATCTATGCAACTTTTAGTCAGTATACCCAAAAATCATTTATATTATGGATTTTTTTTACATTTCGTGTACCTTTACATTTACGAGATTTCACGAAGATACGATGGCGATCTTCACCAATACATTTACTCTTCATTATGAGATGAATATTAACAAATGAGTATGAAATATCCTCTAAAAGCAATGTAAAAACGAAAGTGTATAAGAACAAATTCTAAAAAGTGACAAGAAAATTACATTTGAATTCAAAATTGATTGCTAACAAAACCGTTATTAATCACGTCAAGTGATGAAATAAGTTTTTGGAATTATTTGTGACCTAACATGCACTGAAAGGTTTATTGTAGTTCATTACCAATCACCTGTGATCAGGTTCATTGGAGGTGTCTTGAGCCCTCACCCTTTTTGGTACACAGGGTACTTTGTTATGCGAAATGAATACTTTCCACAACGTTTTTTGGACTGAAATTTTGCATACGTATTTAAAATAACACCACTTCTTCATGCTATGAAAATGTTTGGTATACAAGATTAATAAGAATGAAACATCCTATATTTTACATTAAAATTTTCACAAAATGTTGTTCGATTAAACTCACATTCTGGATGAAAAATATATATTAACAAAGCACTACATGAAAGAAAATGTCCTTTCCCAAGTATTACGAAGCAAATAATATCATTTCTTTTCAGAAACATGCTCTCATGCTGATATACCAATAATCGAACCCCATGCTGTTATAAAGTTAATTAATCATTAAAATAATTAGAAGAGTGATTCAAAGTTATAACACCAGATGTATAAGGGATTGAAAAATGTTAAAACAGCAGTATTAATCTCTTAGCACTTCGGAAACAAAAGTTATGAGGGGGCAGGCTCCTATGAAATTTTAACATAGCTCGAAATAGTTCCTTTGGCTAAACTCTCGGCAAAGCCGCGGGTTTTACCGAATTCGACAACCCTTCGGTGGATGCACTAGTCTTCTATCCTCGCTTCCCTCAAGGAAACGGAGGTTTCACGTCTGTGTCCTCTTCTTTTGGACACGGAATAAACTAAAAGGCATTTGCTGTTCCCATACACTGTTATGAGATATCATATTACGTTGTCAAATATTTTTGTTTTTGTGCCTCCTATCAATGGTCATTGTGTGTCCTTATCATCAGTAGACACCGGCGTATGACCTAAGCTTTTGTATAGCCTCATCTCTGATGTACTGTCGTATTATAAATTTTCATTTTGCCAACAATCTTTTAAGGTAAATCGACATTTATTCATGTCTAATTTAATGATTTTAAACCATTCCATTTTACACCAACTTAAGATGCCCATAACGAGAATTCCTCGTGAACACGACCAATGATTATCTCGGCAATGGTCTCCATCTTAGTTAAAGACAGCCACATTTTTTAAACTTTAATAACTGTCTTTTTCCATAGTCTGCAATATAACTTGTGGAATTAAAAAGAGGAGTGACTAAAAAGGGTTTACAATTTATTGGTGAAACAAGTGTGTTTGTTCCCGCTGACGTTCACTGCTGTCTGTAAAGTCTAGGGCGGTAATGGTTTAGCAGACAGTCCACCTTTGTTGACATTTAAATAAATTGGATTTGAAAACTCGACGAGTTAGATAATGTTATTGGAATATTTTACATCAAAGTCAATACGAACGAAAATGTTTCCAGGTTATACCACAATTGTAAAATAAGATTAGGTGATAAAAAAGGACTGATGATGAAGACAAACCAGATCCTCAGCTGCTTGTCTATCGGAATTGAAATATTTATATGAAACATTTTCCAAATGAGCCTCTCTGATTGGAAATTGCATTTAAAGACTTCTCTTCATTACCGTTGAATACTACAAAATGATATTAATCCAGGAGGAGTGCCAGCCGTAAAATCTGGAATCGTAAATGAAATCTGTGTTAATTTCCTTTGCTGGTTAGTTTCAAAAGATTGGTGTTTGTAAAATGCAATCTAGTGATGAGAATTCAAATTATGATAGTTCTTTTACTCGACGCAATCAAGTGTTTTTTGGTTGTTGTCTATGTAAGGTGTATATCCTTTTAAGAATTTGAATGTAAAATGAATACATATTATTATTATGTCATGAAAGATGCACAGGGGAAAAATGAGTAAGGATGCCAAAAAAGCAAGATACATAAATATAAATCGATATACCTAAGATTAAATATGAACAAAGGAAAGACTTGCATAGATAGCACGGAAAAACTAAACGGCGAATAAGACGAGGTGTTCCGGAAGGGTTCAGTCACCTACACAATAAAATGGGTATATTGTACAATACACCAGATATGTTTACACATACATGTCTTTCAAATTACTCGTCAGAAAAAGATGAAATGATGTTTTATATATAGTATTTTATATATGTACCTTTATGTATGAATGGTGTAATAACAAGTAATGATTAGAATTGAACGTACAAAATATGCTTCATTCAAAAGACTGCTAAATGATTGGCCTTTTTTTGTATGGGTTAAAACATACACACATTTATGTTCACAATCGCCTACAGCATGTTTAGGAAATATTGACAGTAGATTTCAATGGTCTTTAAATGGCGGCTAGTAATTGACAGGTCATTTAGAGTGACTACGGGTTGGGTATTATTGTCCATTCATAATACTTGTCAACAGCATTTCGATCACTGTAAAGTTTAAAGTATAAACGTTTGACATTGCTTCTACAACTTGTCCATCATAACCCTATTAAGTATTTATCTAACTTGAATGTAAGTCTTGTGTAAGGTAATAGTTGACAGTTTTATATACTAAACACCGTCTTTGTCAACAAGTAGGCAGTATGCTTAAGTTGTAAGATAGGCCGATTCATGATACTGTCGTATCACAGAAGAAGCTACTTGTCGGAGTGTCGGAGACAACCCTGGACCTCCTGCTGTACGATAGCTACGTCTGTTATCATAATTACATCTATACATTGTAGTCTATGGTAAGTAATGCCACGTAATTATGGCTATAACTACCCGTCTCATTGCTAAGTGGCTGGACAGAGGCGAGTCTCGGCGTGCCTGTATGATATTATCACAGGAAACGGCAGCAGTGTGATTGATCGGATACCCACACACACTATTCCCATTGATAGGTTTATTTTTATATCTATATAAGGGATGTAGATAAAATATCGTCCTGATGAATACACCTCTAAATAATACAGGCTTTACTCGATATTATTTTAAATGAGTTATACGTCTGAAAAGCAATACGGTTTGCTTTCGAGTGCATTCATTAACTTACATCACATAAAATC